CCTTTCGGTCAACGTATTAAATTAAATGACGATGTACGTGACGGTAAACCAACCTTAGTTAATTTATGATTTGACGTTAACTTAATTTGACTTATAATATTAAATTATTTTTGTAATGACTGATGATTTTGGGCTAAGTTATGACTTACATGATATTAAATTAATTAGTTTATGATTCAATACTTTTTAGGACCCATATATAATTAATTAAATTATGATTTACGTGATATCGAATTAGCTCTAATTAATGTATAATTTACTTTATATCATACTAGTCTCTCTACGTGCACAAAGTTTCTATTTATTTAAATAATCTTAATTGATAAGATTATATTAAAATATATTTAATTTGGTTTGTTATTTTATTTTCAAATATGATTATCTGAAATTTAAAAATTAAATTATTTATCATTTTGTATAACTTATTATATTATTTTTAAGAAATAATTAGTTAATTTCTGCTATTACTATGGGTAAATTAAGATTAATCTTAAATTAATTTTTTTTTTCCCGTAATTTATTTAATCACCCGTTGATATTTTAAAATAGCTAAAACAGATTAAGAAATACTCAAATTAATTTGTACGCATACATGTATATATCAGAAAATAATTATTATTTTTATTGTGTAACTCTATATAATAGCACTAATACCAAACTTATATTAATTTTTTAAAGTAATACAGCAGACCAATAAATTATCGAATTAATTTAATCAAAAAAATAATTAGATCAATTTCAATCATCGTACATGTATGCATTAAATCAATTTTGGAAATAATTAATTTATATTTCAAGTATTTAGATTTGTATTGAATTAATTAGATTTCTATATTAAACTAATTTTGAATATTACTTTTATAAATAATTAATCACTTGTATTTATTAAATTAATTTGAAAATAATTTATCAGATATGTATGTAGTAATTAGAAAATGATGGTGACTAGATTAGTATTTATGATGAACGGAGAATTTTTAAAAAATACAACTAAAAAATAAGAATTAATACATTAAATCTTGACATAAGGAAGTCTATCATAGACTGTCAGTATTCTCTATATGAAAGTCTGAAAAGTGGATATACAATTTTGGATCATCAGCAAAAGATAAATATAAAGTTATTCATAGTGACTGAAACTTCGGATCAAATATCTTTTGAATAGTTTTGAAATTAATCATTAAGAGACGATAGTGCTACATTGTGACAACAAAGCAACTGCGTACATGGTCACTAATCCTGTGTTATATGAAAGAACCAAGTACTTTGACTTGAATTCAATTTAATTTTCACTTAGATTAGAGAAAGAATCCAAGATGGAAGTCTGATGATAACATAAAACGTCTACGTTTTATCTTCACATGGGATGTTAGTGGAGGATTGCGTGCCCAGTGTAAAAGAGAGTCCCAAACGCAGCGCTTTATTAAATCCGTAGTGATAATGATGAGATGCAAGTATGAGGTGTGAGCGCACTTGCTCTGGCTGAGGCATAAAATACCTTGTAGTCTTCAGAAACTCTCGTTCGTGCAATCAATCCCGAAAATCCTAATAAGGCGCTTTCTCTCTCGTGCAATCTTCTGCCTTGAAGTACTTCTCTCACTTATTTATTTATTTTTTTCTTCTTCTTCCCAATTTCTTGATAAATCTTTGCAAATACTAATTGTGATGGAGGTTGATTTAAATTTTTTTGGGAAGTGTAGATTTAATTTAAACAAATAAAAAATAAAAATTAGAGGCATTTATTTGGAAAAAAACTGAACAAGAGATATATATATTTTGGCTTAATAAAAATAATATATTACGAAACAAAAATTGAAGTATTACAATATTAAAGTAATTATTATATAATAAAGGCTGATGTAAAAATCAATTATTTTAAAAATTAAAAAAAAAAGGTGCCGCGAGCTGATCTTTGATTTGAATAGTGTAAATAATTTTTTTTTTTTTTTTAATATTATAAAAGGTCTCCAGGGCTTTTAAATAGGTACAGTATTGATACATATCACAAAAAAATAAAAGACTGTTTCAAAATCCTTCAAATATTAAGTTAAATAACAACCAAGACTCTAACTTCCTGAGTATCTCTCAATTGAATACTAAAAATTGCACAATTAGTTATTCTAAATAAGGGTTAGTTTTTATGAAATTACATTTTCTCTGCTCAAATAAAATAAAATAAATCAAAATATTTCTCTAATAATTTAAAAGAGTTGACTCTAAATAAAATTGGACATAAATCTTAATGCCCTAATGTTCATTGCACAAGAACCCTGCTTCCTTTCATTGATTCTTTACTCTCAGAACAACCAAACACAGCCTAAAATTCAAGTATAGTAAACAGCACCGAGTTATGCACAGGTCATAATTTGATATCCAATTAATTGAATTTAGTATTTCCTAGAAAAAGGGATTAGCAACCATCTTCACCAACCAACCTAAAGTGTACATGCATACTAACATCATTTCCATTAGTCTCCTGATTCCCCACCAAACTCATCTGCCTGTTCATGAACTCACCCTGAATCCCACTGTCATCAGTAAAGAAAACTACCTGAATGGGTTGATATGAGTATCTCAATTGACTTTGGGAAACCAGTATAATTACTATGCTTCTTAGGATTAAAACTCACCACTTAAGATGATAATGATTCTTTTAGTTAATCACAGAGTCATCGTGACCAGATGTAGAGGACGAACAAACTGTAGGCAAAGTAGAAGAATTTTGAGTTTGGCTTCCACTGGAACTGTAATTTTCCTTGTGTCGGCGAAGATCTTTTAATGCCCTGAACCTCAGATCTTCAGTATTGGTACTTGGTTCAGCGACCATATCAGGCACTGTTGTTCTGCCCTCGAGCATGCTCACCACCTCAGACATTGTAGGTCTAAGTGATGGGGATGCATTTGTGCACATGAGAGCAACTTTAACCACAGTTTTTACCTCTTCTTTCTTGACCTCAGATGTTAACCTTTCATCAACTAATTGCATCAGGTCTCCAGTTTGTTGCAAATGGATAGCCTGTGACGAAAGCATATTCAGTAAAGCCTGGCTGATGTTTCTTACTGATATGATATAGTTTCATGAAAGCTTCATGTAAAACAACTAGTATTGGAAAAAGCAGAATACAAAAGATCTGAACAAGGAGAAATACCCAATCTAAGAGGCATGCATAATTCCCGCTAGGCATATAATTATTGTTGTTTTTCCCACTAACAATTTCCAATGCTACTATGCCATAGCTGTAAACATCAGCTTTAAAAGTCAAGTAACCCCATAATGCATATTCTGGTGCCATATATCCTCTGCAAATCAGGATTAAGATGTCTTGTCAATATTGGCAGGTTACAAAAGAAGCAAACATGTATCAAGAAATTGCTAAAGAACATAGCTACTTACATTGTTCCAGCAATTCTGGTGCTAATATGGGTTTTTTCTTCTTCATCAAGCCTAGCCAATCCAAAGTCAGATATTTTAGGGTTTAAATCCCTATCCAGAAGGACATTTGTAGCCTTGATGTCTCTGTGGACAATCTTCAGTATAGATTCTTCATGGAGGAAAGCTAGACCTTTAGCTAACCCAAGGCAGATCTTAATCCTGATAGGCCAGTCAAGTTTTAGCAGACTCTTTTCTGGGCCTACAAGTTATACAACAAGAAAATAAACCACTGGCTACTTCAACCTTATTTACGAGTAGCTTTAGATCATTGTTAATTCTACCTATCTTTGAGCTTCAATTGTAAAAGGAAAAGTTGAGTGAATGGTATAAAACTTACCAAACAATGCCCGGGCAAGACTATTATTTTCCATATACTCATACACCAGCAATAAGTGATCCCCTTCAACACAAAATCCATGAAGCTTGACAAGATTTGGATGTTGTACACAAGAAATCATGCCTACCTCATTCAAAAATTCACGATTTCCTTGCCTTGATTTAGATGAAAGCTTCTTGACAGCAATCACCCTGCCGTCAGCTAACAGACCCTGCATCATTTTACAACTGCTGAGAGTTTATGATAGAGGAAGAGTTACAAGACTTCACTAGGACTTCACCCATGGCATAATCTCACAAGGTAGGATATCATATTCTTCAAGCCAAAGGCTGGTTGGAGTTTCATATATTTATGTAAAAAAAGAAATCATATGCATGGCCTAATTCACATGATGGCTACCTTGTATACTGGACCAAAACCACCTTCTCCAATCTTGTTAAAGTCATCGAAGTCATTGGTGGCATCTCTAATTTGTTTCAATGTGAAATTCCCGATTGGAAGATCTTGTTCCTCACCATCTAGCAAAATCAAACAAAGAGTTATGAACAAATTTCAGCGAGTTCTCATTCCAGTAGTAAATTATACTCATAATACGAAAAGTTAAACAAAGTAAAACACAAAGCTACCATCATAGAGAAAAATATAGAATAAATTGTACTTTCATCCCGTATGGTTTGATTTTTTCAAGTCAAGTCTATAGTTTTTTCTGTAACATTTAACAATATTGGATTTTCTCCATTTGTCATACTCATTAATGCTGTTAATTGCTCTTTATAAAATCACAAGTTTTTGTGGTTTTACCAATTACAATTTATTGTCTTTTAAAGTCACATTCTATGGCCTTTTCTTTCTTATAATTTTCCACTACATTGAAGTTCCTATATATGGTTTGTAATTAATAATGTTAGTACAACTAACACTTCAGGGTACTAAGATGAAACCCAAAAAAAAAAAACAATTGAGGGTTTGACTTTCAAAATGGTGAAACTTTGACTTTCCCAAAAATGTGACACTTGAATTTGAACACTAACGCAAGTTTCCTTTTTTTTTTCTTTTTTCTTTTTTCTTTTTGGAAAAATGAGTTCACAAGAAAAATTCCCTTCCCAAAGACTTTCTACCAAAGTTGTAAACATTCATAAAAAGCTTGCATGAATATATTAGAAAAGAAGGGTGGAACTTCACCAATTTACACGTCATTGATTCTTTTCAATCTTTGGCATGTTATTCAAGCTATTAAGATGCGGTTAATTTCTTAATTGTAGTCAATGAACAGTTTATTTGACCCAATTTTTACCAGAAAATAAAAGTGAGATTTCAGATATATAGAAGACCGTCCAAAAGAAACAATACAATTTGCCACAAATCAACACCCTATGCCTAGAATTTCAAATCTCTGATTCTTAAACTTGTTTTGAAACCTACACAGATGATGCCATTCACCATTCAATGGATGTCAGTAAACCAGCAAACAAAAATTGAATAACTAAGTTTGGAAGTCTCAGATTTTTCCCTATTACAGCTTGGATAATGGTGATACATATCAGTTTAAGAGTAGAAGTATTCGTGCACCTTTTCTTCTACCATGTTGTCCTGGCAAACAGCCTTTCCACCAAAGAATCCCCAATAAAATAAAAATAAAACAGAGCATTCCAACTCCAATAATGATGTATATGATTGTGTCTTTTCCACCATGAGAGCAACGTTTGAAATCTGTAAAATACACAGCCATATCCTTACTAAGTGAAAGAAGAGAAGAGAGAGAGAGAGAGAGAGAAGATATCATCATTGATCTTCATTTAAGTCATATATCATAACACAATCATTTATAACATACATACACAGAAGGCAACCCAGAGACAACATACAACCAAAAACGAAATCTCGGCGCATGTAAAACACAAGTCCACTGTGAGCTCAACCCATCGCTCAAAAGTAATAGCTATTGGAGTTTTTGAGCCTTTAGATCACAAGTATATACCACATATTTCCTCACAATACTTCTAATGTGGGATACAGGATATTAAAGTAAAAATCCAGAACTAGATGCTTGATTAAAGAGGGCAAAGAAAGAAGTTCAGTACTCAATGCTTAGAAGCAGAATTGCACAACTTGCAGGTAACAAAAAGATTATATCATAGTTCCTTACAATTTTCTATTAAAAGTATCTAAAGAAAAATACCAATGAAGGGAATGAGAAATGATTTGCAAATGCAATATAAATCAAATTCTGGCCCTTATCCAGGGGCATAATGACGAAAAATGTTCAAAAGCTAGATTCTCTTACTTATTTATGCAACAGTTTCTCAAAAAAGTAATTATCATATCACAAATTATTTTATATACCTTTTCGCAATTAAAAATATTCTTTTAGAGAAAGGAAAAATATGGCAACAAGGATGTGCTGCTCATGAATATTTACAAAAGGTCAATTAAGTGCCACAAGTTCTCATCTTAAGAAATTGGATTCACTGTCAACAGAATGCTCAGGAAATGGATCTAATACCCAAAACCCCTTGCATCATTGGCTTTTTCACCTCCTTCCAATTAACCAAATGGGATCTCCTTCTACCATCATCGTCTCTCCAGAGAAATCAACATTTAGTTCTTTCAAATTTTTTAGTAATCTTTACCGGGATTGTGTGAGCCAATATATAATATATGGGAATATTTGACAGAGTGCTTTTAACGAGCATAAGCCTACATCTCTTAGACAAAAATTTCTTTTCCAACTGGCCAATCTCCTCTCAAATAACTCAATCACCAAATCCAAAGTTCCAGTATCCTTATATTTCGAACCAAGAGAGACCCCTAAGTACTTCAAAGGAAGCTTAGCCGTTCTACAACCAACAAACTAGCAAAGATATCCTCATCAACCCGATCACCAATTCTCACCATCTCAAATTTTTCCAAGTTAATGTTCAACCCCGAAACAGCTTGAAAGCACAATAGAACACATCTCAGATTCAACACCATCCTCTCATCCGATTGACAAATATCAAAGTTTCATCGCGAAAAACAAATGAGACACTTCAACTTGTTGGATTTCTTCTAACCACCTTCACCCCACAAAACAACTCCTGCTACTTGGCACTTCCTAACATCATGTTTAAAGTTTCCATTACAATGATGAAAAGTAATGGGGAAAGAGGATCACCTTGTCTTAAACTTTGAGAGATCTTGAAAAAGGACGATAGATCACCATTGATCACCACAGCAAAGGAGGTAGTAGATATACAGGCATGCATCCACCGTCTCCATCTCCCTCCAAAACCTAGTCTCCCTAACATATTGCCCACAAACTCCGGCTAACATGTTCATAGGCCTTCTCCATATCCAACTTGCACATGATACCCTCACTTTTGTTCCCCACAAAATTGTCCACAACTTCATTAGCAACCATCACAGCATCCATGATCTGTTCTCCTTCCACAAATGCATGTTGGTTTTCACCAATCACTAAGCCCATAACATTAGTCAACCGTTTCATAAAAACTTCAGAGATTAACTTGTAAATACATCCCACTAAGCTTATAGGTTTGAAATCTCTAATATTTTTGGTCCATTCTCTTCTCAATAAGCACAAAAAATTGTAGCATTCAGTGACTTCACAAAGGAACCGGAGCTGTGGAATTCTTTAACCATATCTATCAAATCATCCTTTATAAAAGGCCTAAACTCCTGAAGAAATCACATTTTGAAACGGTTAGGTCTTGGGTCTTTGTTGCCATTGCAATCATTGACACAATTCTTAATTTCATCTTTAGTGAACTCCCTCTCAAGAAAGATTCGATTAATGTCACCCAAAGCCTTAAATTGCAAATTATCAAGTCTTGATTTTTTCTTAAAATACTTGGCAAAATTTTATTTTTATCTCTCTTCTAAACCCAAAACTTTAAATTGCAAATTATCAAGTCTCCGTCCTTTCAACAATTTGTTCAATCTCCTAGTATGGTGGTTTCCCTTCATAATAACTACATTAAAGTGAATTCTTGCAATAATTTTATTTTTATCTCATTATTCTAAGGAATCTATGCTTTTGGTTAAGCTTAAATTCTTGTTTGAAGATTATAAAAAGTCCCAACTTTTTGAAGATTTCGAAGAACATGTTTAATCTTTTGCTATGTTGATGCTTCACCATGTAAAGCTTGAGGCTGAGTTTTCATCAACTTCGGTAGAATGATGCAAAATAAGATCTTTTTTGGAACAAATTTTCTACTAAAGAGAATTTTTGTAGTTATTATTATGATTTTGTATTTTAACTTATTTAGCTTATTTAGATATATTTAGACACTATAATATTTTAGTTTTCTTTCAACTAGATTTGAAATATAATAGAAAATAAAATCTTTTAGATTCTTTTCAGTAACTTTCCCTTTTCATTGCAACTAATACCTATATAAATGCTAGTAGCTATAAATAAAAAGCAAAAGACAATTTGAATGAAGAATACTTTTTTGAGATTTTTTATTCTCTATTATCCCTCTCGTGTATTTACTTTTGATTGTTAATATCTCTTATCTATCTCGTTCATTCTACTTCTCCAATATTTCTTTACCTTTATCCTTAATTTCCTCTGTCCTATCTTTATTCTTCTATCTCTCACCTCGATTTCTGCTATTTCTAAATTATTCACAAGACAAGTTAATTTAATCGCTACTTGTCCATCATTACTTGGTATCAAAGCTTAAATTCGATTCATCATATTGCTTTAATTTTGTCATCCAACTTTCACAAAGCATAAAACTTACTGTTAATAGAAATACCCTAGACCATAGACAGCCAAACATCAGGAGAGGAAATCACAGTGCCCGACTCAACTTGATCCCTAGCCACCGCCAGGATGGTCGATACTTGCATTCACCACCAGCTTCACAAGATCTCAATAAGAAAAACACCAAAGCCTTGCCACGGAAACTCGTTGAAGTACGCCTTATTGGAAAAATATTAAGAGATAAGCTATCTCTAGATAATACTTTGTTGGAAATGGAAGGAAGAAGAATGAAAGACTTAATTTTAATTTTTATAATTGTACAAAATATCTTCAAGTAAATGAGTATATATAGGCACTACCACAACTTATAAAATTTCAAATACATATACCATAATTAAGTCTAATTCATGAAGTATAATTAAATTTAAGACATGAACTTAAAAAACTAAAAAAATACATATTTTAAGTATAATACATGAATCACTTAAGAAACTCAAAAAATACATATTTAAGTCAAACAACATACATT